AACATCAGGACTATGCCTTTTTACTTGTCGACCTTGGGTCTGTCAGCCTCAGCAGCCAGCAGCTGAGTGAAGAAAAGCCTCCAGCTTCAGTGGGCCGGGAGCAGGAGGCAGAGCTACAACCCAAGGTTAAAGGGCTTTCACCCAGCCCCTAGAGCTTGGCACTTTGAACTCGGACTTTTAGCCTCCCGAACTGTAAAAGAATACACTCCTGTTAAAGGCCATCCCATTTGTGGTATATTCTTGTCAGAGCGGCACTAGGGAACCAGAACAGCCGCCCTGTAGAACAGAGTAAAACTATCTTACAGGGTTTCCAAGGCTGTAAATCTATGGAAGCAGATCACCTCATCCTTCTCCCATGGACCGGCTGGTAGATTTGAATCTCTGACCTTTTGGCTGGCAGCTGAGCACTTAACCACTGCGTCCCCAGGGCTGCTCAGTCTCTGTCCAGCCCCCTAAAGAGAGGCTGGAGCGCCACTCTTCATCATCCTGCTCAATCCTCCCAGCAGCCATTCCAGAGACTCAGAAATGAAGGTCATGCCCAAGGTCACACAGCCAATAAGGAAGGCACTTAGATGAGAACGAAGAGACTGTTGTTTCGTCCAGTCTCCCAGAGGTTCCCAAAACAGGTGCAAAGTGCACAGAGAAAGTCATCATTTCCCCACTCTGCTCCAAAAACTACGAAGTGACAGAAAGAAGTGAACAAGAGACTAATGTTGGCAGGAAGTCACGGAGAGAAATCTGATTTTCATGAGACATTTCCTTTTTTTCCTCAACGTTAACATCAATGTTGAGGGGAGAGAGATGCTGTCGTAGACGGAGTATGTCTGCAGTATGCCTTCCTGCTGCCCTGCTCTGCTGTGGAGGCCCTTCCCTCCTTGTCCTGCCACAGATCCTTAGGCACAAGCGGAGATCTGCAAGAGCTGCGGTGGCGCAGCTAGACTGAAACGAGTTGACCCCACGGTCACTGGAGACACAGCCGACCTGGCCCTCTCCTGCTCCAGCTGTGCCGGACTGGTGGAAGGTACCATGTGGAGGTTGCAGGTCTCGGGGCCAGGCTTTCTTCAGCAGACAGAGGCTGCAGTGCATCTGTGACAACTAGATGTCACCTCCTCTACGGCCTCCAATCTGTTGTCAGTCCAGGTTGCCCAGAGCCCTGTGTGAGAGAGAGTTAGACATGGAACCCAACCAAGTCAATGAGTGAGGCAACAGCATGCGATGTCTGCTCTGGGGGGACAGTGCTCACGAATGTCACGAATGTCCTTTACTTCATTGTGTTGGGGTGCCAGAAGTTGGAGTTCAGGTCCCAAGTCCTCATGAACTGAAGAAGTGTGTTCTCCAGAGATGGTTCCATCTGAGGCCCTGTTCCCTTCACATCAGGAGTTCCCAGGACTATTTTTAGTTGCTTGAGTTGGTTGGTTTTTCTCACATCCTAGTTCTAAGGTCCCCAGAGGAACCTCTTTTCACTGATGCACACTGCCTGGTGGTCCCACAGCAGAGGGTGGGAGAAGAACCGGTGGTCCAGCTACTGCACTCGGCATCCAGATGTCCTGTGAGGGAAGGCACACGCTGATGTAAGGCATGTTGTATGACTAACAGGAATCCCAACCCACTGGGTACCTTTGTTCCTTAGTAATGATCATCAAAGCCTGCAACACAGAACCAGTTGACAACGAGTTGATTGCAACT